CTGTTGCTGCTGTTGTTATTGCTGCTTCTGTTGCTGTTGCTGCTGCTGCTGCTGCTGCTATATTCATGCTATTGCTCTTGCTGCTGTTTATGTTGTTGCTGCCTCCTCTGCTGCTGCTGCTGCTGTTTATGTTGCTGCTGCTGCTGCTGCTGCGTCTTCTGCCGCTGCTTTCATAAAACTTAAGAGCAGCTTTTGCATGTTGCCCTGCAGCCTCTGCTGCTCTCGCTGTTGCTGCTGCTGCTATAGCTTTTTGTTGCTGTTGTCATTGTTGAGTGTCTTTTGTTCTATTGTCAACAATTTTTGGTGTTTTGTGTTTAGTTTTGTGCATAGGGCCATGCCCACATATTCGCTGGCATTTTACCTGACTGCCAGCCCTGCCAGCCAGCAGCCGCTTTTGTTTATCTAGCAAAACTTTCGTTCTTTGCATATTGTTTTGTTTGTCTGGCTGTCAACTTGTTTAACATGTCGCAATGTTTGTTTGTTGTCTGCTATTGTTGTTGTTGCTGTAGCAGCTGTTGCTGCCGGCATTTACTATTAAAGTGTTTAGTTAAACGCATGCCAAACCAAATTACCAAAATCAACGCCAGGATATTAATAGTGGGTGAGAGGGGGAGAGTGGAAGCGAGAGCGAGAGAGAGAGTAAAATCTCATAAATTTTACCTTGAAGCTCCACAGCTGGGCAAGGTCATGGCTTCTAGCCAAACACACAAATAAGGCAATGGCCATTTGGGCCAAAAACAATGATGCAACAAATTCGATTGGTCTGACGCTGCCTGCGCCGCCTTCAGCCTGCTCTCTTCCCCTCTCTTGTGCTACGTCTGGCGTAATTTAATAAAACGTTTAAGCGATTAGATACGTTTGTATGCACTAAAATGTAACCATTAGATACGCTATCTACACACACACACAGACAGAAAGACACACACACAGACAGACACTACACTGTGCAGACACAACAAAACAAGTGCAGCTCCCATTTGGCAGCAGCAGCTGCTGCACTTGCTGGGCCAAAACGCTAACGAGCCTTTGGCCACGCTCTCCAGCTTCAGTCTGCCTTCATCTCTAACGCCTCCCTGCCCCTCCTCCTCCTGCTGCTGCTGCTGCTGCTGCTGCTCGACTATGCCAGCCATTGAGTGTGGACCATGGTTTTGGTATCCGTGTCGAGACGACGCTCCCTTTTACTTGATGCTGTTTTTACTTTTGCTGCCGGCTGACTGCCTCTGCCTCTGCCTCTATGGCAGCTTCTCCTCCTCCCCTGCTCCTCCCCCTGCTCCTTCTCCTGCCGCTTGGTCATGGTAAATCTGCGCTGCCAATCGCTAAAATTATTGCGCTCAATCTTTGTTATTAGATTAACTTCTATTTTGTTTTCCTATTTGACTTTGCCATAAAAACGAATCGCGCTGAACCTTTAGCCATACACTAACCCAGCCCAAAGGGCAGCTCGATTAGCTTCAATTGTTTGTAACCAGAGAAACTTATAGTTATAGGCTCTTTACTGAATTTCGCGTGAGTTTCTGGAGGGTTAAAAGTGAATTGATGAAAGCGACATATTGGTTATGAGATATGCAAACTTTTACTTTTTCTTCTTTTGCAAAGATAATATTCATTTAATTTTGTTTTTATGGTCTTTAAAATTTTGGGAAAGTGTTTTTAATTCTTTTTACGAGTTTTTGGCATTTATTGGACTTTTTTATAATTTGGCGTTTTTTACATTTTTGTCTTATATGATTTATGTAGACGAGTTTCATTTATTTATATATGAGTTTTCTATTAAGTTTTTATATTTTATCCAAGTTTTAGAAATTCAAGAAAAAAAACGGACAACATCATAAATCTAATATATGTAATTCGCAGAAATGGAATAGTTCTTATATATTCACATTTTCATAGTATATTCATATATCCCTAAGGCATAGTTTCATATATGTAGTTAATTTATTGCAATATAAATTTTTTATTATTAATTATTATATGTTTCTAAATTGTAAATGTAAATGTTTCTAAATCTCAATCGAAATGCAGCAACAAAAGCTTTAAAGATTTTAATCATTATTTTATTTATATATTTATATATACTTTTTTGTTATACATATTTTATTTATATATATTATATTTATATATATTTTCTTCATAGTTTCTTAGCTTGATATATTTCTTGCTTGCAGTGGACCTTGCAAAATTCAAACATAAATATTTCAATCTAGATTTCAACCTAAAAACCTCAACCAAAATTTTTTTATTATATGTATGCTAACTATAAGATATGCATATACATATATACATGTATACATATATCTTCTCTTCAATTGCAACTCATTTAACTATTAGTCACAGCCTTGTTATAAAGTCTTTATATAGTCAAATCTAATTGAAGGCCTTCAGCATGAACAACAACAGAATTTGCTTTTGTTTTCAGTAAAAGGATAAAAGCGAACGAGCTCAAGGGCATTTGAGTTTCGGCTTGGCTCAACTGTTGCCAATTTTCTTGTTATCTGTTGCCGCTGCCGCTTCTGCTGTTACAATTGCTGTTGTTGTTGCAGTTGCTGTTGTTGTTGTTGTTGTTGTTGTTGTTGTTGTTGTTGTCGTCCATTTGAAAACTGAAAGTGCGCCTGGTCAAGCTGAGCTTAGTCAATGGCATTAGGCAATGTTGCATTAGCTATGCTCGCCTGCCATTCGGTTTTGGCTTCATTTGTTTTTACGGCCACCATTTTGTTAGACGTTGCACTCAGCAGATGCACTCAGCGCCGCTGCAATGAGTTTTGCCTGTTTTTGGGCTGGCTAAATTGGTTTTGTGTTGGGCTGCCATGTTGCTGGCGCATCAGCAATTGAACAGCAACAGCAAACAGCAATTGCTGCAACCTGCTGCAACCTGCCGCACTGCTGTTGCATGCTGTAACCATGGGCCGTTTGTCGATTGCCGATTGCCGATTGCCGATTGCCTATTGCCGATTGTCCTCTATTCTACATAGCTGAGTTTTAGAAAGGCACACAACTTTCCTTGCACCATGATGCGGTCATAGACCGACCGACCATGCCATGCCACGCGCGGCAACATTTCTTTTCTCAACTTTCGCTTTGTTAATAATGATGTTGCAAGCAGCCGGTGCTGCTGCCGCTACTGCTGCAAGCTCTATATTGTGTTATGCAATTGGAGTAGAGAGCTTTTGGCGAAACTGATTCTAATTAAGTGCAAGACAGAGCTAGCGAGGGAGAGCGAGTGAGAGAGGTAGAGTTAGAGTGAGAGATACTCAATCAGTGTCGCCTTTAAAATCGTTTAATGAGTGGCTTTTATGTTCGCAGCAGCTCAGCTGCTCACACACACAGACACACACAGATATACAGAGAAGCCTTAATACTCATTAAAGCCGGTCGTATTTATGCATGCAGCATTAATGAGGGAATTTCACAGGGAGGTAACAACAGCTCCAGCTTCAGACCACTGTGACAAGTGCGGCGTAATTGAAAGAAATTAAAAAAGAGAGAGACCGAGAGTGAGAGGGAGAGAGACGAATTATAAAAAAAAGAGAAAAATAACAAAAAAAAAAAAACTCTGCAACTGTTGAACGACAACAGCAACAGCTTTGCAGACATATCAAATGATGATGATAATGTGCCACGGAAATGGGTTAAGCTGCTTAAATGTTCTGCCCCAGCCTCAGCCACAGCCCCAGCCCCAGCCCCAGCCCCAGCCCCAGCCACAGCCCCAGCCACAGGCCCAGTCACAGCCGCAGCTCCAGCCACGCCGCCGACAACGACTTCAGAGTGCGACTTCAACTCCTCCTCCTGCTCTTCCTCTCAGCCGCGACTCCTGCTGCCCTGGTTCGTTCTGCTACGCAAGTTTTCTTTACAAAATCATTTTTGTACGTGAGTCGCGCTAAAGTTGATTTTATTCTTCATTTGGTTTTTTTTTTTTTTTTTTTTTGCCAAGCCAGAAGTTGACAGAGGCTGTTGCTGTTATTGCTGTTGTTGTTGTTGTTGTTGTTGTTATTGTTGCTTTTTAAATGCATTTAAATGCGCACGCATCAAAATAAAATTGGCCGCAATTAAAGCAGAGAAAGTGAATACTCTGAGCAGATATATCTGAGCAGACATTACACACACACACACGCACACATACGCACGCAATCACACATTACATACTCTCACACACACACACACGCACACACATAGATCAGCTTAAGTGTTACAACTGGCAGTAAGTGCGGTCCATTCGTAGCTTTTACTCACGTGCCGTAATTCTAGTTTTTTTTTTCGGGTTTTTATGAGGTCGCTCGCTTGCTCTTACCTGTAAAAGATAACGAAAAAACAGATGGAAAATTTTAGATAAAAGTTTAGGCCACACACTTATGCGCAATTTGCGTAAGCAATAAAAAAGACAAAAAAAAAAAAACATTAAATTTAAAACAATTATATTAATAATAATCATAATCTCTTATGTTGTTTTTTTCTCTCGGGGTTTTAATGTTTTTATTAAGTGAGAATTGGACAACTTGTTTTTTTTTTTTTTTTTTTGGGCCAATTAAAAGGCATAGGCAAACATGGCTAGCCAACTGGGCCATAGTCATGTCCGTTGTCCGTTGGACAAGTGTTACACCGTGTGATATGAATGAGGTTTCTAGAGTAGACACAAAACTAATAAAGCTTAAGAATTTAGCATAGATAGCCAAGCGAGATGAAAATAGGTATGTTGCAATATATCATAAAATTTTTTTTGGGGGTTTGCTTAAATTATATGATTTAAGTACTGATTCATGTTCAGAACTTCAACCTTTTTCTGTGTCATATAGAAAACTTATTTGTTGTGGTTTTTAATCGCAGTTCGAGCTTTTTACCGTTCTACAACTATACTTTCTAAGTACTTTATATAGAGTATGTTGCAGTCGAAAATCTTAAAGATTTTTATAGACACTAATAAATTGTAATATTTTATATATATTGAAATTAAAGCTACATATAGGGTATCTACTAGTCTAACCCATTTCCTTCTGCTTTATATATAGAATCTATTTATAAAAATATTCAGGACTATTCTTGGAAGAAACTCAATCAAATCAATGTCTGTCTACTCAAGTTTGTGTCAACGACAGCCGACAGGTGGCGCATATCAATTATCAATTTGCAATTTTCCAATCAACAAGCAACAAAAAAAATGTATAAAATAAAAAAACAACACACACACACACAGAATATGAAATGGTAAGTAAAACAAGTTTTGTGGCATTTAATTTATATGAAAATGGACTTGGCCCGGACATCTTGAAGAAGGCCTAGACATTGGTCGCATCAGCTTGCCGGCGGCTTAATGAAAACTTGGCGCCTGCTGCAGAAACATACGCACCCCTCCCCCTCCACCCCACCTCTCCCGTCGATGGGCCGCTTAATGCTGTCGTCAAGTGTATTAAATTGAAAATTTAATTAAAGAAGTTTGCGCCGGTTGCGTCTTGGCCAAGAGTAACACAGCTGTCTGGCTGGCATCAAATTAGCCAAACACAAAAGCTTATTGAACTCAAGAGCAACATTTGTGGCCCAACAGATTCATGGTCGACAAAAACAACGAAACGAAGCAAAAATGGATTTAAAAAAAAAAAGTAAACTGAAATCAACGCAAATCGCTGTCAATAATGGCCAAAAAGAAAAACCGGACGGTTGTGCCAACAGAGCAAAACAGCAAAAGCCAAAAAGGCTTAATTTGTAGCCAAGTTAAGTTATATTCACACGCTTTTTGATACCAATTGCAAACAATTGCCCTGCGTCAACACGTCCGCCACAGTCCCAGCAACGCCCCCCTCCCCCAGCTCCAGCCGCAGTCACGCTTAGGCAGTTTTGTCAAAATACAAAAATTGGCCAAAAGGCAGGCGACAAAGCGGCTAAGAAAACAACAGCAGAAAGAAATAAAATAATACAGACACACAGAGACAGACAAGGCTGTTGGCAGCTAATAATGAAACTAAGTTGGTAATAAAGCTGGCCTAAACCAAGCAAGCGACTTGGGTGTGTTTTATATGATGTTTGCCTATCAAGGACTGATTGTACAGCCGAGAGTCATTTTGAGAGCACTGAACGACTGGAAGATGCCGTAAATATGCTTGCTTTTGCCTTGGCTGGGATCATTGGGTGTTTATGATGCCACCAGGTGAGCATAAATTAGTTCATTTAAATATTTGGGATATAAATTGAATAAAGTTACAGGACTAGATATATTCTTTAAATTAATAATGAAGGAAATTTAATTATAGAACTTTTTGGATAGATTTTTGTATAAACCTTTTGGCATTCTCTCCACCTTTCACTACCTGTCTATTTTTCCTCTCTCTAACTGTACTTGATTAATCAAGTGTTTAGGCACTTGATATCCTCTCTATCTGTCACGCTCTACTTTTCTCTCTCCCTATCTCTCTCTCTCTTTGATCGTGCCCTGGTATCCTCTCTGTCACTCCCTTTCTTCTTCTGCCTCTTCCTCAGCATCTCATAAATTATATATGTTTTATGCCTGCTTTAGTCATTTACATACCCTTTTCAAGCCATAAGTTCAAGGGTATAATAACTCATCTAGCTCATAGCTTTAAGTGCAGGTTCTAAAACATAATTAAGACCATGGCTAAGACCCGCAGACCCAGTACACACACACACACACACACACACATGCAGAGAGTTAACTCTTTTGCAGCTTATTACCAGCTCATGTGCTTTTTGGCTAGCCAAAAATGTTCAATAAACTATCAACAGCTGTCACTAGTTGCTGTTAGTTGTTGTTGTTGCTGTTGTCGATTGCTGCTGCTGCTGTTGCTTGGGCCTTTAACTCTGGTCCCAAACAAACTATTATGTCTTTTGGGTAGCTTGACTCCGGCCGTTTGTTGGTTGACTTGTTGCCATTAAGTTAAATGACATAAGCATAAAGATTTACGCCGCTGAAAACGGCCAGAAATCAAACGCTGTCAGCCAAAGTGTCAAATTTGTAATGAGCCACAGCAATGGCAACAACAATTGAAACGTGCCAGAGAACTCGGGCTGCTGCCACGCCCGTTTTCTTGTCTCGTTGTTGTCGTTGTGTGTGTGTGTGTGTGTGTGTGTGTGTGTGTGGTTTTTTGTTTAAAATCGCTTTTGATTAAAGAAGTTGTCAACCCATAGTCAACAAAAGCCGCTTGATAATTGCGCGTGGGCGCCCCCTCTTCAGTTGTCTGTTTTCGTTTTCAAAGTATTATTAAATACATACAGCTACATCTCGATCGCATTTATTGCTCGAGCTCGAGCAATTTGCATAGTGAACCGTAGCTGAGGTCGGGGCTGGGCCAGGCCAGCCTTGAGCAGTGCTTGAGACTCGTGTATTATTGTAAACTCTTTAAAGTCTCTTATTAAAGGCACAAAGGCAGCAGCTGGCAACGACCTTGCCAAGCCATAGAAAAGTTTCGATTTTGAATTGCACACACAGACACAGACACATACACTCACTTATACACACACACACACACTCTCTCATACACACACACAGAGTCTTTTGTGACACAGCAATTGCTTGAACAAAATGCAGCGCTATAATTAATAATTTCTCTTTAAATTCGGTACTCTCGCGGAAAAGTGGGCGTAGTTGTTGCCCACGCGCAAGAGAAATATTATGCTTGAAAAAACCCGGGAAGCAATTATCTTGATGTCGTCAAAAGCCATCGGCATCAGGCATCAAGCCATCAAGCTATCATCAGCATCGTTCACAGCATCGTGAATGCACTTCCACTTAATGAGAGGCAACGCATACACACATGCACATATACACACTCTCGCACACACACACAGCGCTAGTTGAGCAGAAAAAAAATATAAAAAAAACTTTCATTTGTTTCGCTTACTCAACATAATTAAAAACTGCGATAAACCAACAATGCAACAAAAAACGACAACGTTAGAGATTGAACGAATATTAAATACTTTACAGAAAATTAATTTGATAAAATATGACATTTTCTCGTGTGATTTATGAGGAAAAAGTGGAATATATAAGCAGCTATCTGAGAGCTTATGGTAAGAGATAAATAGAGGAGAGAATAATTAGTGAATTATGATAATTATTTCATATCATTAAGAATTTAGAATGAATTCAGTTAGATAGAAGATAATATTTTATATATAATTAAATAAATGATGTCATTATTACAGCCTAATCTAATAAAGCACTAAATTTGATATTATGATAATACTAAAGATAATATAATGTATTGAAAGAAATAAGAAATAAGAATTATTTAATTAGAATTCAAATAGAATTAAAGAAAAACTATCTTTCATTATTAAAAATAATTTTATATGATAGACAAAAATAATTTTTTATTTAAAAATCAAGTCATAACTTTTATCTTCATTTTAAAATGCTAATTGTAAAAATAAAAAATTAATTAAAAATATAAAAAAAAAACATATATATATAAATCAAAAATAAAAACTACATGCTGATTATTAAAAAAATAAATAAAAAATAAAAATAATAGAAAATAGAATATTTTCCAAACACTATCATATCTATAGAAATATTACTTGAATATGAATTCCTATGTATATTTCATATTTATATAAACTTGAGAGGTGAAAAATATAGGGACTTCAACTCCCACCTAGCCTCCCTATTTCATTGAATATCCCGTTAGGGTATTGGGGGTACTTAATATGTATAGCGTGTGTATATATACGTATATATATATCTGGGCTGTGCCTGATTTTGCGCTTGTTAAACGCGCGTGGGCCGTGTGCGGCAGCTATTGATGCCCGGCGCAGTTTCCTCTCCTTCTCCCACCACGCGCCCTTTCTTGCACCCGGCTAAGAGCTTTGCGTAGGCGTCAGTCGAGCGCCTGAGTTGCATTTGTGATTAGCTGGCATTGATAAGCGCGTCAGCTTGAGCCGTGCCCAGCCGTGCTTTGATCCATCTGATCTATCATATGCAAGTGGGCTGGATTTAATGCTTCGCTTTGATTACCGCTTTGCGTTAGACATTTACCAGCTGCAATTGCAGCAATCGCAGCAGCAGCAGCAGCAACAGCAGCAGCAGGAGCAGCTTTTGGGCCAATGATGAAGACAAATGTTAAGTGCGCGACATTTTCACTGTCAATTAGCGCCTAGGCTAAGGCTAAATTGCAGCTGCTGCTGTTGTTGTTGTTGCAGTTGTTGCTGATGTTGCTGACAGTTAAATAACGCAAACGTGCCGAGTTGCAATTGCTTGTTGCTGCTGCTGCTGCCGCTGTTGTTGTTATTGTGCCGCCAAGCACGTAACTCAATAACGCGCACATTCTAACAGCAACAACAGCAACAAGAACAACAACAATTAAGCTAACAATGTACCACACACAAGTAAAAGTTGTTGTTAGTGTCGACTCGACTCGACTCGACTCGACATAATGAAAATCTGCTCGCTTGCCCTGCATGCCACATCCATGCCCGCTCCACCTCCTGCACCTCGCACCCCGCACCCCGCACCCCTACCCCTTGCCCTGCTGCTGTGCAACAAAGTGCAAATGCTTTGCGCTTCCCTCCCTCCCGGCCACTCGGCCCCTGCGGGGGGAAATTGTCTAATGAAAAGCTGTTGTCGACACAAACGAAGCGTAGCCGGGGCCTGAAGTGTAAAAAAAGTAAAAAACTCTATATATATATAAAGAAAAAGAAAAAAAATTGCATTGCAGGTTAGAAGGCAATGCGGGAATTGTGCTAAGGCGAGCGTTGGCAGAGGCAGGGGGGCGTGGCAATAAAGCGCCATCGATTAAGCCTTAAATACTTTAAGGCTGCTGCATGAGAACGAACTGCAGCCGCTGCAGCTGCAACAATTGTTGTTGCGGCGCCAGCAATATGTTGTGATGAAAGGCTTTCATCGGGCACTGACAGCAGCTAAATATATGAGCTAATCAACACCCTAGATGGGCTACAGAAAAGAAGCAGAAATATAGCGAAAATGTAGGCAAAGAAGTTGCAAAAATTCCATTCAAGATTTTGATCCAATATTTGTTTAACTTTTGCTATCTCTCTCGCACCTCTTGTGTCTATGCTTAACTCATCATATTATGCTCACTCAATTACAGGGTATTAGGAGAAAGCATTTGTTGTTTGTTCTTGTAATTCTTTAATTTTTTTTTTGCCATTTTCTTCAAACACATTGCTGATGGCTTCATTATGACAGCTTAAATTATTGGTGTAGCTGCTGCTGCTGCTACCAATAATAATAATAATGATGATGATGATCGTAATGATGATGATGGGGCAACGTTTTAACTTTTTTTTTTTTGGTTAACTGAAACCAAGCAGAAGGCCGCCACAAGCCCAAAATGAAAACGCGTTATGGCCTGTTTGGCTGGCAGCTGCCAAGTGTTAATTATATGGTCAGCAGCTCAATTGCAGCTCCAATTGCGGCTGCGCCCAAAAAAAAAAAAAAAAATAAAATGTGCCAGAAAAAACCATACAAAAAGAACAGCTATCTATGGGGCTTTATTTGCATGCAAGGCCTTGCCACGCCTGCCACAGCCACACTGCCCGTTTCTCAGACTCTTTCCCTGCCCCCGAGTGGGTTGTTATCTCTGCCCCTGCATTTGCACGTGTCGCTATTGGTCCCCAACCCTCTATCTCTGGATCTACCCATGTGCCTCTATCGGTTTGAGTTCCTGTTTCACTCCCCTGGCTGAGATCCTGCTCTTATCCCAATTCCTATTTCTGTTCCTCTCTCTACCTCTACGTCTGCCTAGCCTTTCTTCCTGCTTCTGCCTCTGCCTCTACCTCTACTTCTACTGCAGCCTCAGCTTCTGCCTCTACCTCTGCTCCTATTTCTACCCCTTCCTTAAGTCAAGCCTATGTCTGACCTTTGTCTGTGCATTTCCCCCTAACTCTACTCCAGACACTTTCTTTGCCTCTTTCTCTGCCCCTTTGCTTCCCTCTGCCCTTGTATAAATTCCTCCCTCATCTTCAGCCTATACTTTTGTTTCCACCAATGTCTTCGTCCATGTCTCAGCTTCTGTTTTTGTCCATTCGTCTCTCCCCGCATCTGTCTCAGCCCCTGATTTCGCTCTGTCCCCACCCCTGGCTCTGTTTGTATCGCCTGAGCCCTCGTCTATGCATTTGACTTCCTTCTGTGTCTATCTACTTACTCCACCCTTAGCCTATCCCTCCGAC